ATAGTCAGTAACAAACACTTTAGAAGGTGTTAAAGAATGCTACAGATTAAAAGTTCGTAATTTGGTTTATCAACATAATATTTTACAAATAATTGGTGAATTCCTTCAATAATCAATTCATAAAACCGAAGGGTTTTTTTAGCTCAAGATTTTTTACAAATTATTTGCTTTACCAGATGGTTTGTTGTTTGTTTGTTTGTATATATATAAGTGAATCAAAGGCCCAAGGACAAAATGGCAGGATCTGGCTCTAAGACTAAAAAGAGAGTTTAAGGCTACAGATGATCACTTTGAAAATTCTGCTTGAATAAGAGTAAAAACATACCTTTTCATGTCGTTTTCATCTTAACAGGGTTAACTGCTTGAGCTCTGTAGCCCTGGGTTTGTGTCCTAGCACAGTCTCGTGATTTGAGAAAGTTACGTATATTCCCTGTGCCCAGCTTCCTGCGTGTGCACTGGGGAGAGCCACAGTGTCTGACCCCACAGAGTGGCTGAGGGAGTGAAGGACCAGGCCTGAGCACATTAGCAGGGACTCCCTGAGCACAGCAGGCTCAATGCACAGAGCCTGTGGCTGCTGCTCACCTACTCCTCCCTCGATTGTCTCCCTTTGACCAATTTCATCCACTCCCCAACTCCCCTCCCTTCTGGCAACCACCAGTCTGTTCTCTGTATCTATGAAATTGGTTATTTTTTGTTTTATTTGTTTTCTTTTCTGTATTTCACATGTAAGTGAAATCATATGGTATTTGTCTTTCTCTGTCCGACTTACTTCACTTAGCATAATACTCTCAAGTTCCATCCATGTTGTCACAAATGGCACGGTTTCATTCTTGTTTATGGCTGAGTAGTATTCCATTGCATAGCTGTCCATTCATTCATCGATGGACACTTAGATTATTTCTGTATCCTGACTATTGTAAATAATGAATTTCTAAAAAATTAGTGCTTTTGTTTTCTTCAGATAAATACCCAGAAATAGAATTGTTGGATCATATAATAGTTCTATGCAGATCTTCTGCCTATGTTTTAATCAGATTTTTCTTGTTGAGTTGTACGAGTTCTTTATATATTTTGGATATTAGCCCCTTATTAGATGTGTGAATTTTCAAATATCTTCTTGCACTCAGTGGGTTGCCTTTTAGTTTTGCTGATGGTCTTTTTCACTGTGCAGAAGCTTTTTAGTTTGATATAGTCCCCTTTGTTTATTTTTTCTTTTTGTTGCTCTTCCCTTTGGAGTTAGAGCCGTAAAAGCATAACTAATACCTGTGCCAAGGATCTTACCACCTATATTTTCTTCTAGGAATTTTATAATATCAGGCCTTACATTCAAGTCTTTAATCCATTTTGAGTTGATTTTTTGTGTACAGTGTAAGAATTTGGTCCAGTACTTACTTTAAAGTATGTCAATTAGCATTGAATTCTGTTTTGTTTATCTGGGGATATCTTTAATTCACCTTAAGTTTGAAAGTTAGGTTTCCTAGATATAAAATTCTTGTTCAACAGTTGTTTTTTTACATTTAACACTTTGCATATGTCATGCCACTACCATTGGGCTTTCATTGTTTCTTTTGAGAGATCCTCATTTAGTATTACTGGGATCTCCTTACACCTGATGAGTCATTTATCTTTTGCTCCTTCAAAGATTTTCCATTTGTCCTTGGTGTTCAATGTTTTCACTATAAAATGTCTATTTGTGAATTTCTTTCTGTTGATAGTATGTGGAGTTCATTAAGCTCCATGCTTGTTGAATAGGTCTCTTCCAGTTCCTGAAGGGCCTCATTACTTGTTTCCTTATCAAGAACATTTGGCTCATCTTCATTGTAAATTCAACGCCTGAAGGCATTTTCGAGAGTGGTTGTGAACTGAGCTTGAATCACAGTTGTGAGTAAGCAGGTCCACAGGACAGAAGGGTAAAAGATGATTTCCCTTTCTCCATATATGTGATTTCAATATTATCTCTATAAGTACTAAACTTGTAATTTCTTGATAGAATGTTGATTGTTAACCAATGATTTTGCAGCATCTCCTATATATGCTCTCGTAGCACAACTTGTACCTTCTGTGCTCTAATATATACTGTCTATAATTGGTTAAATAATGGCCCCTTGAAGATTTCAAGTCCTAATCCCTAGAATTTGTAGATATTAAAACAAAAAGAAAAAATAAACAAATGGGACTATATCAGACTAAGAAGAGTCTTTGTACATATAATTAAGAATTTTGAAATGAAATTACCCTGGATAACCTGGTTGGGCCTTAAATGCCGTCACATAACATGGATTGTTATAAGAGAGACATGCANGTTGGGCCTTAAATGCCGTCACATAACATGGATTGTTATAAGAGAGACTTGCGGAGGAGAGACGCATCAAAAAGGAGAAGGCAGTCTCATAGGGCCTCAGGCCGTGGAATGCTGGCGGCCACCAGAAGCTGAAAGAGGCAAAGAAAGGATTTCCCCCTAGAGCTTGCAGAGGGAGTGCAGCTCTGTGGACACCTTGATTTTGGACTTATGGTCTCCAGGACTATGAGAGATAAATTTCTCTTGTTTTAAGCCACCCCATTTTGTGGCAATTTGTTACAGAAGCCACGGGGAATTAATATACCACTCTAGCAGTGATTTGTTCTGTATTTTCTGTACTAGACTGCAGACTCCACAGAGTGGGACTACCTCTCTCATACACCTTGATAACTTCAGCACTCGGCAGAGGGCTTGGCAACGCTGGGTCTTTGTGAAATACTTGTTGAAGGAATAACCAGGCTGTGATCCTTACATCACTCATAATGTACTAACTAAACAAAATCACTGTATTTCTGGTTAATGAGCAAAGGAACTGAGAGGAAACTATAAAAATTTTATGACTGGGAGAAAAGAAGACGAAGTTCTGTGGGTGGTTTTGCTGGTGGGTCAATTAGAATTTGGATGTCCAGCCTAGGAAAAGTAGATGTTCTCTGAGGAGTAGTGTTTAGGCAGGGATGGTAGGAGTGGGAATCGGAAATGGTGCTTCCAAGCACTGCCCTCTCAGATGCAACAACTGTCCAGGCTGTTCATTGCCATGTCCCATGCAGCTTCTCTGTACTCTGACCACATATTACTCTGGCATCACAGGGCAATGAGGGACTATCTGTGTGGCCTCGTATAGACTAATGACGAAACAGATGCTAAGGAGAGAGGTGAGAAAGGTCTGAAACCTAGTGAGGATCCACATGCGTCATAGGTAGCTTGTGAGGGAGCACTTCACAGTTAACAAAGGTGAAATGCCTGGCTATTAGGCCTGTGTACCACTTCATGTGTATATATAGTATCTGAATGTGCTGCTTCAGGCACTGCTACTTCTGAGGCCTGTTATAAATCAGAAGAAAAACAGAAATCAAACTAACAAAAAGCACCATGTAACTTGCTTTCAGTTCTGCCATGAGCTGAGTCTGCTGGAACTACTGTTCAAAGAGGCTCTTGCCATTTCACTCACTGACTGCATAATAATTTTGCTGAGATTCATCACCCCCTTGTGCAAGAAAGTCATGTTGCAGAGATGTAAGATTAAATCTCATTCTTACCTCATTCCAAACTTATTTCTTATTCTTTTCTATCATCTATGGGAGCTTTTGGCTCTTTGCTATGCTTCCCACTGCCATGGATTTGTCCTGCTTGAACTGCCACCCATGGCACATTCTATTTCTTTCAAGAAGCTGCTTTGGCGGGAGGTGATGTCTTTATTCTCTGAGCTCCTATTTTGTGTGTGTGTGTAATGTTTTTATTGATTTCAGAGAGAGGAAGGGAGAGGGAGAGAGAGCGAGAAACATCAATGATGAGAATCGTCGATCTGCTGCCTCTTGCACGCCCCCTATTGGGGATCGAGCCCACAACCCAGGCATGTGCCCTGACCGGGTATTGAATGGTGACTTCCAGCTTCATGGGTTGGGGTTGAAGCTCAACCATGAAGCACACCAGCCGGGCTTGTTTATATTTTAATCATGATCGTCAAAATGACAAGAGCCACCGTTAGTTGAGGGTTCACTATATATGCCAAATATTGGGTTACATTCTTTACATATATTAGTTCATTTAATTCCTACATTTCTTTTAAGTGGGCTCTATTATCTCTGTTTTCCAGTTCAGAAAACTGAAATTTGAGAAAACTGAGTTTAGAGAGGTTTAAGTGATTTGCATAAAATACACAGCTTCTGACTGGAGGATTCTAAGTTTACACCTAGATAATTTCCGAGCTCACATTTTTAACCTTTAACACATGCTTTCCTTTTTTAAGCCTAATACTGATATTGTAATAAGTTCATTTTCTTTCCTAGGTTGTATAATATTTGAGGATAGATTTCATATTTTTATTTTTCTAATAACAACTTCTCTTACCCAGTGACTCAATAAATGAGTCAATCAATATCCAGAATGAAATTATTGTAATAAAAATATTACTGGGCCTTAAATATATATTAGAATAATTTAAGAAAGTTATACTGATAGCTAGAAAGAAGTCATTATAAAACGTTTAAAAAGATGGTACTTATGGGTAAGCATGACTATATCAAATGACTTTTTTCATATTTCTTAAAGTTCTACATGTACATAACATATAAAATGATGAGATATTTATTCATGATTTAAAAATTTTTTCTATTCAGGGGTGGGGCACCTTTTTTCTGCCAAGGGTCATTTGATATTTATAACATCATTCACGGGCTATACAAAATTTCAACTTAAAAATTAGCTGTGAAAAAAGCTCCTAGATTTATTGAGTTTAGAGTCCCACCTACGGTTGCTTTGGCAGGGCCAGACCTATATGGCCTGTGGGCCGGACATTCCCCACCCCTGAATGATACGATTCAGTTTATGAAAATGTTTTTGTTTAATCAACTTTATGTGTTAACTTTGTGTTAAATGCACATTTTGTTTTTTACTAATTTTGTGCTTTTTAATTTTTTTGGTTTTGTTCCCAGGATGGGGTAGGGGTGGACGAGAAGCTGTCCTTGCGGCGGGTAGCTGTGGTTGAAGATTTCTTTGACATCATCTATTCAATGCATGTGGAAACAGGGCCAAATGGAGAACAAATTCGGAAACATGCTGGACAAAAGAGAACTTACAAAGCAGTAAGTTAAAAAGACATTAAAAAAGAAAAGAAAAGAAAAGGCATGCATTTTAAAATTTGGTATTATGAATGCTTATTAAAAATGGGTGAAATAATTATAAATATTCTATCTTCAACATAAATTGACCATATCATGGTCATACCCAATATTTAAACTATAATTTAATTATTACTGATTCTGTTTTGGTCATATGTTCACCAAGTATATAATTTGAACCTGTCTGTAGGATTCTAATATTGTTTTCTTTAAATATACACAATATTTAAATATACATAATATGTGGTAGTCACAGTCAAATGCTCACAAATGGGAAGACCTATTTGTGTTATTTATTCACTGTATTATAATATATGAATTATGGACTAGAACATATGAACTTTTGACTACCACTACAGTTTTAACATTCCTTCCCCTTCAAATCATATTAATGTGTTAGGCAGTTCCTATTTAATACTTATAATAACACGAATAAGATAATTTTATGTACATTTTAAATGTCTTATATAAATACATTTGTACCAAAGAGTATACATTTCTTACAGAATAGATTATTAAAAAATATGTGTTATTTTTATAGATGTAATACCCTTGAACATTTTTAAATGGATATATATAATGTTTATATCATAAATTATATGAAAAGCAGATTTAATTAACTGTTAGATATTGAAATATATAGTAAAAATGGAGTTATATATTATTTCTAAAGTGTCTAATTATACTTACAGTTTGATCTAGACACTTTAATCTAGCTTTTTATTAAATTAAAAAGTTTATGAAATCACTTAATATAGAAACTTCATCCTTTCTAGGAAAATTGAACAGTAAGTTATTCTTTTCTAATATGAGCAAAGTGTACATCAGAAGTACTTTATCAACAATCAGAATAATATCCTTTTTTAGAATTCTTATTTAACTTTGCTTTTGGCTGCCTTTATATTAACTGTTTTCAGCTATATTGATATACAATATCAGTCTGGATCCATTTTTTTTTCAGATACAGAAAAATGTGTGAAATGCTCAAAGTTTCAAATACAGGTACATATGTTTGAAAATTAGCTACTGAGCATAAGAAATAGCTTCTTTTCCATAACTATTTTTTGCTATATTTCCAGGGTCATATTGAATCTTTGTAGTTGCATAATAACCCCTAATACATGTTGTATTTATCTCTCCTTCTCTATGGTTTTGTTTCTTGGCTGTTTCCAAATTGCATGGTTTGTGGGCAGGCACTATTGTAAGTTTCCTTACATAATTCTGCCACATAAACTTTCTTTTGACTTACATATCTCAGGAGATAGTCTTATCATAACTAATGGCAATGACCTACTTTCTTTAGGATATTTTTATGTAGACTAATATTACTGAATATACTCATTTCACCTGTCTCCTAAGCCAGGGTTTTATCTCTGGATGGTAATAGGAAAATAATTGTATATTAATCTACTAATATCACTAACTGTGTACTCTTATGATAATTTATTTTCATGAAATAGCTACCTGAACTTGATAGGACTTTGTAAGGTAGACATACATAAGTTTAATTGTATTAAATGGAAAACAAACAAGAAACTAGTGGTTTCATTGTCTGTAGTAGTGTGGCAGCCAAATCTGATTAGATGCCAAAAGCAATTTAAAATAATTTAATCTTTCCAATGCATTAGATAGAGATCTTTTACTAAAGTGGGAACTCAAGTCAATGACATAGACCCAAATATCTCACCCTTTGTTTTCTTAAGTGAAATGTAGAGACTCTCATCCATTCCCATGTTGCATGCTAAACTCTTCCAGTATATTGGTAAACACGTTTTTAACACATATCATTTTGCATTAACATTATGAAGACATTTCCTGCATTTTTGGGTAGGGATACCAACTTTTAAAATACAAGCAGCATCTGAAACATCATCTGAACATTCCCTTTGAAGATCTTTTTCTTTCCAAAGTTTATTGTTTATTTTCACATCTAAAGTATTTTTTTACCTTTTTCTAATGTCATGAAGGTCCTTTTTGGCCTAACCATTTACCTTCTGGTATCTCTAAAGTGAATCCTAATTAGGAAACATTTCCATTTTGTAGGGTAATAACTCATCATAGAAAAAAACTGTTGCAATGCCAGCAAAACTGTGCACTTGACTCTGCAATATGAACTTAAATCTAATGTTAAAAAATTAATATAAATGTTCAAGTAATGGAGCAGAAAACTAAATGCAATTTGAAATGGAGTGGTTTAGTGCTATTAGGTCCCTAGACTGTTGGGTCAGAGTTTAGTTCTCAGCACTAACACTGGAATTTCTAGTCATTAGTAGCATTAGTTAGATACCTATTGCAATGGTAATGGTTCCATTAAGTTTAAGATTTTTTCCTACTTCTAACACATTAGTGTATAGAGCATGCATGACTATATTTATTGACCTTCTTTTCCTTCCTTTTCCTACATGGCCAAGAAACCATAATTATACAACTAATCATTAAAGCCTGTCATATTGTCTAAGTAATATTATCAATAGATCTAGTGGTCATTTTATTTACTTTGCCTTTTTTGCAAATCTTTCTATGTTTTCACTCTGCAGGAAATGGTGGTCCTTTAATATCGGATTAACTTTTGAATGCTATTTGTTTTTACCTATCTGCAGTATATCATTCCTTGAAATATCTAGGCATTATATAACTTAAAATTTATTGCAAATCGATCTGACTGTAGATAAAATTGGAGGGGATATGTTCTATTACTCATGAGTTCTCTGAAAGAAATCCACATAAAATGACACATTTTAGGAATATGTGAAGGCTATCATAATTATTATTTTCAGTCATTGTTGAATTTTAGCGTCTTAGGTCTTTTTTCTGTAGTTGTCACCGTCTCCATGTAACCATAATTGATCCATTGAATGTATTTCCTTCAATACACTTGACTATAGTAAACTGTTGATTATCTACATTAACAGAGCGGAGAAGAGGTGTAGATCATTCCATTATATATATTTGAACTGAAAATGCATTTTTGTACTGAAAATTGAATGCAGGTACTTCCAATTCGGAGCCACTTCAGAATTAATCACGCAACATTATAAAAACTAATGTGGGATGTTATTTTGTCTTCTAGTCTATCTCTCAGCTTCAGCCTGAACTCGCCTTCAGGGAATGCATCCCTCTTCTGTGGATGTCTTCTATCACTTGCATTCTTTCACAGGAAGCAGCTGCCTTTTCAGAATGTTCTTAAGTCAGGGTCCCGTTAAAGGATTAAGTTTCAAGGCTCTTTCTTGAAAAAACATGGAAAATTAGAGTAACTGGTAGAAATCCAGGAGCTAAGGGGTAAAGTTAGAATAGTCAACAGAAGAACAGTCTGTATATATGTGTGTGTGTATGTAAACACATACACACAACTTGTAGTGTGATGCAGTAAGCTTACATGTATTACATATATAGCTGCCAGAAATTACGTTCGTTTAATTCAGAGTGGAGAGTATATGCTATAGCTAAAAGAAAATAGGCTAGAAGCCAGACCAACTCAGTTTCAAATTTCAAATCTAGCATTTTCTATCTGTCACTTTTGGCAAATTACTTACTTTCCCCCCCCATTTCTGTCTAGAGGGAGATAATGGTATACATGGTGAGGTAAAATAAATGAGTTAAAATGTGTGAAGTGCTTGACATATGGTAAACCTTTGAATATTGTTATTTCTTCTTCTTTATCCAGTCACTACCCATGTTACAGGTAGAAAAAACAGGACAATTAACACGGGTCTACCACTGCTCTAATTATATTATGGATATAATTTCCTCTGCCTGCCCCATGCCTGTTTGTTGGGAGATAGGAATGGTATTAACCTGTGCATTTTTTGTGTGCATCCTGTAGGTGTCACTATCCCTGGAAATCCTCAGTGTAACTTTTAACCAAGGTTTGACTGAGCTGATGGAAAACAGGAAAGAAGACTAGAGTCCCTGGGTTTAGGAGTTCTCTTAAAAGATTATGAGACTATGAAATATTAGTTATTTCATTTGCTTTTCCCAGAGGTTAATTCTGTTAAGTTAATTTTGGGGAAAAGTTAAAAACTCACTCTGTTTAAAGAATTTGCTTTCAATGTTTATTGAATATTTCTTTCCAGGTATATACTATAGAAAAATAATATATTATGCAGAATTTCTATGTTCCTATTTGAAAATTAAAAAAGGAAAATCTTTATTCTATCAGATCAAGAACACTTAACCTTAAAACTTTAATTAGCAGCATTTTTGTCCTTTAAAAGAAATAAAAGGACATTGGTTCATCATCTCTACTGCTCAATAGGATATTTTAACTTACAATAGTTTCTGCTAGCTTGTCATGTAAAACTTCTCAGAATTCTTGTCAACATATAGTAAGACTTAAACAAAACTTGTAGCCATCTTACTATGAAAAAATAGCACTTAACTATAATCCAAGGAGTTCCAAACTATTAATTTAACCTTTTTTTTTTTCCTGGCTCAGGGCACAGTTTGCTCATATATAAAATGAGAAGGTTATATTTCAGTTTTCTTAAAGCTCTGAAAGAATAACACCAATGATAATAGTGTGTATGGGGCCACTACTGTGCTAAGGTACACAGTGAAGTGAGTAATAGGTTGGCACCAATCATATAGCAAATAAACAAATATAGGACATTGCCTTTTCAACACAGATGGCATTGTTCATTTCATTTTTATTATTATAAACTAGAGTGGCTTAAGTAAATAACTGTTCTGGCTATCAAATAGAGATAAAAACGTAAAATTATTCCAAATTTAAATGTTTTTATAGACATTCCCTAATATTGAACTCCATGATACTGTTATACAAGAAGTCAGTGATTTAGAAGTAGATTTTATACCTAGTTCACCTTGGAGAGTTTATTAGTATAAAATATCACTCAGTTATATATATTTTACGGTACTTTTGTGAGGCCCCTTTTGTTTGTTTGTTTTTCTTTCTGTGTGGCCGGAGTAGATGTTAAAACTCTCATGTAACCCCTGATGGTGGGAGACCATGCCTGTTTCTCACGTCGCTGTGTAGGCACAGCTTAGCAGGAGACCTGTCTCAGGAAGCACTTGCTGAAGCAATAAACCCCCTTTGCTCTTGAAGCCCTTGCCGTTTTGATACCAACTAAATAGTATAACGAAGCTACTATAAACAGAAATAATGAAATTAAATCAAAGCTGTAGCCCATGGCTGGAAAGACTGTGCCCTGTATAACTCATGTTTGCATTGAACAGTGAGTGGATTTATGCAATTTCGGAGGCTCTGAATAAGGGAAATGCATCATTTAACACAAGTGCTTCCTGTTTGCTTTTCAGGGAAAATTCTGATGCTCCATTAAATAATGCTATCATCTTTGAGGCAGGATATAAACACATTACTTTTTTCACACATTGGTTTATTTTATCAGATATACACCTACACCCGTGGATTCCACACACGCGTATAGGTTTCACACAGGTGATTTCTAAGTCTCGAAGACAGTCACTAAATTTAAATAGTATTAAATTCACTGTATGTTAGAACAGTCCCACTGTTTTTGATAACTAAATATTATTCAGACTAATGTCTGATGTCTAAAACATCTCAGAAAGAAAAATAATCAGTGGCATGGCAGTTAGAGTATTAAACAGCAATCCTAAAACAGAATAGTGTACTGCCATTTATCAAAAATGATTTGTTTCTCATACAGGTGTAGTTAGAATTAGCACAGGTGGGCAAGAGTAATAGTGCAAAATGCTTTATACTCGGAAGATAGTGTGGAGACCATCAAAAGATATAAGAGCTCACCCAAACCAGTTTATCATCAGCTAATGTTGCAAACTCTGTCATTACTAATGTTTGTATTAAACAATACTATCCCAGTAAATAGATGTGTTCCTTGAAAGGGATTAACCTTGGAGGAACCTCATTAACTCTTTATGCCCAGCCTAGTAAATTGCTACTTTAGTGCACCCTTGTGGTGAAAATGAGCCAATGCAGTTTTTAAAACTGCTCAGGATATTTAACACTTACACCACTCAGATCCAGAGATGTAGCCATT